CGCATGCGCACTGCCCAGAGTAGGCAGAAGAGTTATGCGGATCGTCGTACTCGTGTTTTGGAGTTTCGGGTTAGGGATCAGGTTCTACTCAAAGTGTCTCTTATGAAAGGTGTAATGCGCTTTGGGAAGAAAGGAAAGTTATCACTACGGTTTGTGGGTCCATTTATGATTACCGATCGCGTGGGAGCTGTAGCTTATCAGTTGGCACTTTCGGATCATTTGGATGTCATTCGCTCACAGTTTCCAGATATAATGGAAGAAGGAAAGGGCGAATCCCGAGGACGGAATTCCTTTTGTTAGGGGGGAAGAATGTAATACTCCTGATTTTAAAAGGATAGTTTCGGTATTTTTTAAAAAAAATTATTTTAATTGCATTTAATTTTTTAGTTGATTTCTTGGCAAATTGTTTACTTGTTGAATTGATTTAATTATTTGTTAAATGTGTTAATTGATTTAATTGTTTAAATGAAATTGTGTGTGATGATGTGTATTTATTTAGGAATTTAATTGTTTTATTTTATTTTTAATTTCATATTTTTAAGGAATTGGATATGAATAGTAGTAATGGACCAACCAATTGGGCTCCATGGACTACTTGGATAAGGGGTTTAATGGGGACGGATAATTACCCATGTATATGTATATTTAATAAATAAATAAATAAATATATATATATATATATATATATATATATAAGGAAAGTCATATATATTTATATATTACATATAAAAAGGATTACACATAGATTATACGTAACATATATTTAAGTTACCTTTTTAGTATTTAAATTTTATTTTATTTTATTTTTATTTTATTTTAGTTTGTCTTGGAATGAGAAAAAGATTAGGGTTATGTTAGTTGCCTATAAATATATAACTATAGGATTGGGAAAGAGGTTAGAAAATATATTACGTACTATATTTTAGAGAGAGAAAGAAGGAAGAGGAAAAGGAAGAAGGAGGTTAGGGTTTTTATCAAATCCCTAAAGGCAAGTTCTAATTCTTCTCTTCTCCTTTGATTCGTACCCTATGCATGCTAGATTAATTCTAGGTTCTTTAAATAAATTAATTGAATCTAATTACATGAATTTATTTGGAAATTGTATTTCATGTTTTAATGATGGGTTTTAATTAATCTGTTATGCCGAACTGGCATTATTGGTGGCCTTGATTTTTAATTTAATTTAATTTATTTTATTTTATTTTACTTGAATTAATACTCGCATGTGTCAGTATTGTGTATATATATATGAAATCAAAATTTGTTCATGCTTAAAGAATGCACACGAAACGAGGGAAAATTAATGAACCAGTTTATATATTAATCGGTGTATGCATATATAGGTAAAGTCATAAGGTGTTTTTGCATAATTTGTGCGCGCCGAACGAGGAAACCATTGATAAGGGATTTAAATAAAAATCAGACTATGATTTAAAGGATAATGAGACTTTGTGTTTTGTCATGCACGCCGAACGAGGAAGAACAGCTTAGGAATGTTTCAGTTTATCTCATTGTATTTGCAATTGAAATTTCACTTCCTTTCTAATACATACACGCGGCATGAGGATGGAAAGGTCAGCTTAGAACAATTTGATATTGTGAGAAATTGTTAGAAAGAAATCTGGTATATTACAAAAATTAGTTATGCATTAAATATTTTAAAAGTTAGACAAATTAATGTTGGATATTAAACTGAGGCTATTGTTTTGTTATTAAGGAATTTTGTATTAAATATTTATTTATTTAATAGATTCATTAAGAATTGAAGTGCATAATTTAAGTTTACATGTTAAGTATGGGTTTAATTGTAAAAGGATAAATTAATTAAACATGAGTTGCATGTTAATTTCTTGTGATGTAAATTAAATGCATGCCACTTAGAGTTGATATTTTGCTCAAGTAAATGCAAAGGATGTGTATATGATTTTTATCATATTTATTTGGATTGTTATATGTAAACATTATTGACATTATCCTTGGATTTGAAATTTTTATTTGATTATGATATTGATTAATGCACCATTATGGGATGGGGGCATATTAGGGACGGATTAACTTAAGAGTTAAGTCCTACCTATTTTAAGTAAGGGAACGGATTAACCATAGTGTTAAGTCCTACTTATTCGTGTCAGGTCAACGGAATAGTTGGATGACATATTATTAAAATAATAATTGGATAGTTTATTTTGATGATTGGATAGGACGGATTATATATATATAATTATACGCCATGATATGAGCTTAAGTCTTAGGATCAGTGGTTAGGGTGCGTATATTGCAAGGGATGTGTAGCTAGATATAGCGTAGTTGTGTACCCTGGTAGGTCTAGGTACTCATGTCCACTATATGTGCGTTTTGCATGTTACCTACTATTCAGGTTGAGACAACTCTATAGTCTAGTGAGGTTCCTTTAGTTTGTATATATATCTATTTATGGACTATTTAGTTATTGTTGAATTAATTAGGATGTGTACGTGTATCGGGTCTCTGTTTGGGATGTAGTAGATTAGAACTTGTATGTGGGCCTGACCCACCATTATTTTTCAGGTGTTCGTCAGTTCCAGTCTTAGAGATTGTTCGTGCCAAGCAGAGACAGTCATTCACTCTTCCGACTCTACGTAGGACTCTTCTTCATGGTTTAATTATTAGTTTTATTTCAGTTCAGTATTTCAGTTAGGATATTGTTAGGGGTCCACAATATGGATTCCCGAGTTGTAGTTTAATTAATTACTAGTATCCGAGGATTGGAGGATTTTATTATTGGATTTTTAATTATGATTTATTTGAGAATTTTAAAATAGGGATTTATTATTTAGTTTCCTTCAGCTTATTATTTATTTATTTTTAATTCATCTTGTATCCCAATGCTTGTTTAAATATTAATTGTTTGATATCCCTCGGATCTGTGCTCGGACTTGATCACCCGTGGCTCTAGAATCGAGGGGTATCACAGATTACGCCAAGTATCTCTCCTTTCGTACCACCCGAAAAGTTTATAAAACCAAAGCAAGTGGTGTTTATAAGATTGAGGCCTACTTGACCTTCTCCCAATCTTACTATCATGATTATCGTTTTGGGAGAGGTCCACTGAAATTCCTATTGAATGGATTCTGGTCTGAATCTTCTGGGAAGCTTTGCATGCTGGGGTCGGCATCTTGGCACTTAAGAGAAGGTAACTCTCTCAAACTTGACGCTGTTCTTCAGCTTAATTTTGCCAAGAATGCAACTATCTTTACTAGTTTGGTTAATGGAACATTGGAGAGCTTGAGTTCTTCTCATGATTCGAATTATTTTGATCCAGTTTCAATATTGGCTTTCCCTTCCATGAGTTACTACAATTATACATTGGTTTCGAAGGAATTAGATAGTGGGTTCCCTGATGGAATTGATATTCCACATAATCATTCTCTTGGATTACAACCGGAAAGTATTTGTTCAACGGACTCCAGGCAATTGCCGCAATTCCCTCCATTTAAGTTAGAGTATGCCAGCGAGTGCAATTCTTCACATAATTGTACTCCTTTTGGCAAGGATATTGGGTATTTGCCTACTTTCATGTCCTTTTCTGAGATTCATGTTGGAAAAATATATGCTTAATGTGACTTTTAAGATATAACAACCCCTGTACTAATATGTCATGAGATAATTAACAATATGTTAATAAATCATTAATTAAATATACAACTCTATATTTAATTAAATATGCAAAATAAAGCAATAAAATAATAATAATATGCAAGGAATGGACCTGGACCGAGGCTAGTATTGGATACTATGTCCTTAAGACAGATTCGCCCCGCTATGGTGCTAACGAACTCAATGGCGTCTATCTCCCAGGATACAACGGTCTACATCCACCAGTAGCAGCACTACAAACTCGTGGATACGGCGAACCTTCTCCATGTAATACTCTCTCTGACTCAAAAATGCATCTATGCTATATAAATGCTGAATTGGGTGCAATTCGAATCAAATGGTTCGGACCAATCTTAATATGGCTCGATGAAATTGGATTAGGGTCTAAATGGTTCGGACCACTTAACCTATGGTTTGAACCCACTTGGGTTAGGTTCAAGTCTAGAGAGGGAGATAGAAGAAAATGAAAATGAACGAATTGCAAATGATCCAAAGAGGGGTATTTATAGAAACAGATATGCCTTTTCGGATTGGGTGTATCTCTTCATTATTGGACACAACCATTGCAATAGGTTGCAATGGTTCACATGGTGTCTGTTCACCACTAGACACATCTATTCCAATAGGTTGCAATGGTTCACATGGTGTCTGTTCACCAATAGACACATCCATTCCAATAGGTTGCAATGTGCCTTTTCGAGTGGGTGCAACCATGGGTCATGATGGTTCAGAAAAAAGGTGTAACCCTTTGAAAAAATTAAAAAGTGGTTTTTTAATTTAAAAAGTGTAACCCTTTAGAAAAACTAAAATATGGTTTTTTTAATTTAAAAGGTGTAATCTTTTAGAAAAACTAAAACGTAGTTTTTTTAATTCAAAAAACCAACCACAAAAAAAAAAAAAAAAAAAAAAAACCCACTCATTTGTAAAACTCATTTAAATAAGCCCAGCCCAAAATTAGGCCCAATCCAAAATTCCAAAAAGGAATAATCTGGACTTTACAATTAGGTCCAAGCCCAAGCCCAAATCCTAAACTCAGCTTATTTAAATTTCAATTTGTTTCAACATTTTTTCCATGTGGGACAAACACTTCCCACATTTTGCATACCCATTTAGGCTTATCAAAACATCACATTTTGGAGCTAATTTCTCATTCATTCAGAAACGGATTTCAGAAAGTAAATATACCTCGTTCATCTCCTTGCGGAGAGAAACGTACTTGTCTAGAGATCCGTAAAAAATTAGTAGCGGAATCTATTTCAAATCTCATCCAAAGTTTATGTTTTTAATGCCCCCGTTTCCAACAATTCAGTGTTCTGAGCATTTACAAAAGTTAAGGTATCTGATAGATTTTTCAAATAGAAGCTATGGGCTTTATAACCAACCTTTCAATTCCAACACGACGTTGGTTGCAGAAGGATCATGGGATGGAAAGAAGAACCGGCTGCATCGTTGCTTGCCGGATCTTGAATTCCTCTGATTCTTTGGGAAATGCTCGTGTTGGGGATTGTTCAACTAGGTTGAGCTTGAGATACCCTGCAGTCTGGTCAATCAAACAAAGGGGTATTGTTGGGCAAATTTGGAGTAACAGAACTGCGAATGATTCTGTCTACTTCCATAGGATCAGTTTTGGAGGCTTTTCCCATCACATGTTGGGTGTTCCTGGTTTGGGGTATGATTACACTGAAATGGATAGAGTAAAAAAGTTATGTCCAGTAAAGAAGCCTTTTGAAAACAAAGGGCTGAGATACCCAATTGCAGATTCTTATGATATGAGATTCCACATGTCGGTAAAAGATTCAAAAGGAAGAAGTTCTTGGGGTTCTGCAGACCCCATCTCTGTGGGTGATCAGTTTTATGAGCATGGGAATGTTATTTTCGGTTCAAGCTCTATGGCTGACGAAAGCTCTGCATTTGAGGCAGAAGCCAACTATATTAGACCATCAAATATCAGCTATAACATAATGTTTTATCCGTTTGCTGGTGAAATACATGATCCGAGTACTGATGGTGAAGTGGAAATTTCTGGTGAGGGGATCTATGATGAGCAAACAGGACACCTCTGTATGGTCGGCTGTAAAAAGCTGGGTTCATACATTCAGGAGTCCACAAATGATCCTATGGACTGTGAAATTCTTTTGAAATGCCAGTTCCCTCCACTTAATTCAAAGAAGGGAGATGTTATTAAGGGAAGCATTGAAAGCACAAGGAAACATTCCGATCCTCTGTTCTTTGAACATTTGAACTTCTCTGCAACAGCTTACTATACTAGTGAAGCTAGACGATCCATCTGGAGGATGGATTTGGAGATCATAATGGCTTTAATCTCTAACACACTCGCATGTGTCTTTGTGGGGTTGCAAATCTTTTATGTCAAAAAGCGCCCTAATGTGCTTCCCTTTACTTCACTTGTCATGCTTGTGATCCTTACTTTGGGGTACAAGATTCCTCTTCTGCTCAACTTTGAAGCCCTCTTCTTCAAAATTCATAATCGGCAAAATATGTTTCTTAGGACCGGTGTATGGCTTGAAGTGGATGAGGTGACCGTGAGGATAATTACAATGGTGGCTTTCCTACTGCAATTCTGTCTTCTCCCGCTAGCATGGTCTGCACGATTAGGTGATGGAAACCAAAAGGGCCTGTGGGTTGCTGAAATGAAGTCACTATTTGCGACTCTAGCATTCTACATTTCAGGGGCACTTATGGTGTTGTTCGTGAATTGGATGAAGAACAAAAATGGCAACACAACGGTGTCTTCTCACGTTGCTGTTTACCAACAACATAACCTCTGGGGAGATTTGAGATCTTATGGTGGTTTGGTCATTGATGGTTTTCTGTTCCCTCAAATCCTTCTCAACATTTTCCAAATGTCAAGAGAAAATGCTCTCTCCCGTTCATTTTACATTGGCACTACCTTTGTTCGATTGCTGCCGCATGCATATGATCTTTACAGGGCTCACTTCGTTCCTCAGCATTTTGACGGGTCATACATTTACGCGAATCCTACTGCAGATTTCTATTCCTCTGCTTGGGATGTGATCATCCCTTGTGGGGGTATGTTCTTTGCAGTGATCATCTTCTTGCAGCAGCGATTTGGGGGTCGTTGTATCCTTCCTCGGAGATTCAGGGAATCAGAATTGTATGAGAAGGTTCCTGTAGTCAGCAATGGGTAATTGCCAAGGATATGCAGCATTTCAACTTTCTGTCAAGTGTTCATTACTGTTGGCTTCTTTATGTATTGTTAGCATATGTGTTTGTGTTTTACCAACATAGGCTTGCTTTATAATGTGTGTAAAAGTTGTATCTTTAGCTGCATATGTATATCAAACAAGCAAGCTCAGGTGTTTACGACTGTTGGCTTCTTTTTGTATTGTTAGCACATCAGTTTGTGGTTTACTAATATAGGCTTGCTTTATAACGTGTGCAAAAGTAGTCCCTTTTTTTTCTGTTACCTGCATTTTATTTTATTTTATTTCAATGATATGTTGCAAGTTGCAAGTTGCAAGTTGCAAATAGTGTGTTTTTTCATTTTCGGGCAAGAATTAACTTTCAGTAAGTGAAAAATATTTTTTTTTATAAAAAAAAAAAAATAAAAAAAAAAAATAAAATAACGAAGTTGCCCTTACACTCATTTTTTTTTATTTTTTTATTTACAAGATGTTTTTTAGTAGAGGGTAACAGTGTTAGAGAGGAGAGAGAATAATTAATTTTTTAGACTTTATAATATATTTTGTATTATAAAAATATATTACTATAACTACACATTAGTTTCAGAGGAATTCGGTAGTGGTTGTCCTGGTGGAATTGATAATCTGCCGAATCGTTCTTTTGGATTGCAATCCAGAAGTATTTGTTCAATGCTCTCGAGGGAATACAGTACTTTTAAAAATCTTACCTTTCAAAAATAATAATAATAATAATAATTCTAACAAAAAATAATAAAAGAGGGAAAGTGTCCAAAATATATAATATAGCTAAGTATATTTGATTGAAGTGTTAAGAAAGAGAGATACATGTCACTTTTGTGAAATTCTAAGAGTTGTAACTTTTAATTATTCAACTTCAAATTTAAACATTTAAAAAGTATTAACATATTTGCTCAGGAATACTTAGCATCTAACAAATATATTAACAAAAATTAAAATAAAAAAATGATAGAATTTCATAGAAAGTTTTTGTTAAATTAATATAAGAAATCAGTGGTATGATTGCAACATTCAAAATTGAAAAAGCAAAAATAATGGTTTTACATGAAATTTTCTATTAACAAAGTTAATTCTGTTTAATTTCCTCAGACACCACCCAATTGCCTTTTTTGATGTTTTTAACAATCCTTTACCGTACAATTTCTACTTCTCTTACCTTTCAAAAAAATAAATAGACCTTTCACCCAATCTGATTCCAGGATGAACCTTAGTATTTGTAATTGTCATAGGCTTTTGTTTGTGGTGTTCACATATGGCGAGTTAGAAAAATAAAGAATAAATAAATAAACCCCACCTATTAGTATGTCAAATAAATAAATAAGAAATTTAACAAAACAAACCTTTTAAAGACTTGCTTTAAATAAAAAGTTAAGAAAAATTAATACAATGAGTGATATAGTTGCAACATTCAGAATGGAAGAGGCAAAAATAAGGGTTAATAGCTCTTGCCACCGATCTTAATTTAATTTGAGCAAAGAATTGGGCATCGCTCAATTGCCCTTTACCAAATAATTTTCACTTATCCTACCTTTCAAAAAATACAAAAAATTCCTTCAAAAAAAAATTCCACTTCTCAAGCCTTCTTTCCTTATGCATGACATAATCATACAAAAAGAAATTTAAAAAAAAAAAAAAAAAATCAAAATATGTTGAATATATATATATATAAAACAAAACAAACCGAAGCCTTGCTTCAATATTTTTTCTCTACTCTACTTTCCCCTCTCATCCTCCAAACAATCATTTGCAGTACTTTTTGATATCTTTGGAACTACTTTACCAAGCAATTTTCACTTATCTTACCTTTCAAAAAATAAAAATATACCTTAAAATAAAATTTCCACTTCTCAAGCCTTCTTTCCTTATGGATGACATGATCATACAAAACGAAATAAAAAAAATCAGAATATGTTCGATCTTACCTTTCAAAAAATAAAAGTATATACCTTCAAAAAAAAATTTCTACTTCTTAGGCTTTCTTTCCTTTTGGATGACATGATCATACAAAAAAGAAATTAAATTTTTTGAAAAAAAAATCAGACTATGTTCAAAAAAAAAAAAAAAAAAAATTAACAAAACAAACCTTTTGACGCCTTTCTTCAATATTTTCCCTCTCCCTCTACTCTACTTTCCCATCTCATCCTCGAACAATCATCTTGTGATGTCCATGTATTTATTGTGTGTGTGTAGTGTAATATAAAAGTAAAAGAAAATAATTTAATGGTGGGGCCCACAAGGCACTTTAGAAAAGGGTTAAGACCATAAAGTTGGTCTCATTTTCCTGATTCCCTTTCTCTCTCTCTTCGTGCATCTCTCTCAACCCGTAAGCTCATTTTTCTCTTATTTTTTGGTTTCAACTTTAAGGTTAGATTTCTCACTCATTTCTTGTTGGAATTAGGTTCCGTTTGAGGCAAAACGAAGCTCGTGTCAAGCTCTATACATCCATATCATCAATTTCCAGTTTTGAGTCTTTCTTGGAGCTTGAATTTGAGGACCCATTTTCTAGGGTTTTGGTGCAATCTTGAGGTAGGGGCCCTTAATTCATGAAATCTTGTACCTTAGTGAGTTAATTGCCTCTAATTGTTGTTTAATTTGATTAGTTGTTTAAAATCTAGAGAATTGTTGATATGTATGCATATATGTTAGTTGTGTGACTATATTTATTGATTGTTCTATGTGAAGCATGTTTAGGACTTGATTATATATGTTCATTGGGCTAGAACTTGTTATGTATAAGCATGTTATGACTTTCTTGATTATTCTTGCGAATTATGCCATGTTGCTTAAATTGGATAAAGTATGGAATGATGAACTTGTGTATATCATTGAGGTATTCATGCATTAACATTGGGCAGGAAAAGGGAAAGAATTGATTTACTTCAAAAAAGGGGAAATTTCGGGAAAGTATTTTTGATGAAGTGATTTTATGCGAAACCCGGTCGTTGCGGGGTTACCAACGGGCCGGAGGTTAATATAGCCTAGAGGGGACTAGGGAGTCGCCCTAGTGTGGTTAAGCTAGCTGGGCCCCATAATGACGCCACGGGGTTACCAAGGGTCAGGGACACTAGCCAATCCTCCTCTCGTGTCGCGGCGGGGTTACCAAAGGGCGGGTTGTATTAACGTTTGAAAGTGATGGTCTTGAGAATGAAAATGGGGAGTGTCATTGACATGCATTGCATTTTATTGCATTGCATTATATTGTTTATAATTGGAATTGAATTGTATGTTGTATTTGATCCCCTATGTTGTATGATCCCTATCTCCCATTGGCCTATGCTTTGCTTGAATTCATAAGGATACAAGATTTGTGTCTTAAGTGTCTCTGCTGAGTTATATGCTCACCCCTATATCTATATATATTTTTTTCAAGTCTTGGAAAAGAACCGGTGGACGATAATCCACCCCAACTTTAAAAGTTGCTAGAAGAGCATTTTCCTTGTTATTTTGTAATAGTCTACTACTTTGTTCATTCCTCATTTTTTGTAAAATTCCAAAGGTGTAATGATGTAAATTTCTTTTGAAGAACCATGATCATATAATACACTTATGATACTTGATGAAATATGGGATGCGAACTTGATGATATGTAACTTGTTGATGAATGGAAGGATAATCTTAGCTTGAAGCATTGTCTAGATTAGTAGGTTGTATCATTATCTTTTGTTGCCGTGAATTCGGAAATTAGTTGCATGACATGTTAAATATGCATTTAAACAGGTTGCTGTAGGTCTATTTTTAGGGGAGGTTATGCCGAATTTTTTTAAAAAATTCTTGGCATTAGTTTTGGGATCGTTACAAATTTGGTATCAGAGCAAAGGTTCGAAAACCTTTAGGACGACGGGTAGAGGCCTACATAGAGTTGCATGGGATGTTGTTTGTATTGTTTACTTGACTACTTGCTACGTGGTATCTTATTTAAATGAGCATGCTTAACTGCCTATGTGCTTACTTGCTTACTTGTTTATGTTAAAATGTTTCTTGCATAGTCTTGCATGCTAAGTGTTGTACGGTATTAATTCTTGTTGAGTCGTCCACAGTGGACCTTAGTGTCATGTTTCTGAATTGTTTTCTCGTTTTATAGCACGATGTCACGGCGTGAGGAACCTAGAGAAGTTGACCCTAGGCCAACAAGGGGCGATGTTGGTGAGAGCTCTAGCTCCAATCCGGTGGAGCCAGTTGATGAGAACATGCTTCTTAGGGACTTGATTCCCCAAGAGCTGTTCCCCCAAGAAGAGAGAATGTTGAAACACCTGTACCCGTAGAAGTGGGTGAAGGTTCTGTGGCACTAGAGTTGAATCGATTGTTGCAAAATGCCGTGAGAGCAACTATTGTTGCTTAGCCGCAGTTGGTACCACAACCTACAGTTGGAGTTGAGGAGACTCCAGCTCAGAAGCGTCTCAAGATCGTTAAGGGGTTTTCTCAGCTGATGTCGGTTATGTTTGAGGGCGGTGCGAACCCAATGGTAGCCGACAACTACATGGATTAAGTCGAAACTCAGTTGACCTCAATGGATGTGATAGAGGATCTCTTGAAGATCATCCTAGCAACTTACAAGTTTGCTATGGATGCCAAGGTTTGGTGGAAGTCGATCACTAACCAGTATAAGATTGAAGAGATGAGTTGGGACAGGTTCAAGGAACTGTTTTATGAGAAGTACTTTCCGCTTTCCAAAAGATGGGAGTTACAAGACCAGTTTCATAATCTTATTCAAGGGAACATGTCAGTGGCGGAGTATGAGAACAAGTTCACCTCACTCTCCCGTTTTGCTCCAGAAATGGTGAGAGATGAAGCTAACAAGACTCGGAAGTTTGTCTCGGGTCTTAATGATCAAATGAGGCCGTTGATCTTGGCACAGTTTATTAAGGGTTACTCTGAAGCAGTGGAAAAAGGGCTTTGATGTTGGAGGCTGACAATAGAGAGAGGGATGCAAGAAGAGAGCAATTGAAGTAAAAGAGGGGTGCAGGGCCATCCTCAGAGGGATCTTCTTGGAAAAGGAACAGGGGCAATCCATCTCAGTTTCAGGGGCAACAGTCTACAAGATCTGCTCCTACCACTGCTATGCCAGTTGGACCTGACAGGAGTGCAGTTGTTTGTTATCAGTGTCAGAAGCCCGGACATTACAAGTCCAGTTGTCCGATGAGATCGTCTTCAGTTTCGTCAACCCCGAAGGCTTGTTATAGGTGTGGCCAGCAGGGTCACTTGATTCATGATTGTCCGGGTCAGAGAGCAGGCTCCATTAGTGGCAGAAGGTCACAGCAGAGGCCATCACAATCGGCTACAGTTCAGTCAGGTTTCAGACCACCATCACCACAGCCTACTATGTCTTCACAGGGTTCACGATCAGTTAGGAGGGATACTCCTACTATGTTAGTGCAGCAGTCAGGTGTTCAGGTTGGCAGTCCTCAGGCACAGGTACCACAGGGACGTGTTTTTGCACTGGCACAGACCGATGCATCTTCTGGATCGTCAGTTCTTCGAGGTATATTTCTAGTGTTTGGTTGTTGGGCCCGTGTTTTGTTTGACTCTGGTGCATCTCATTCTTTCATTTCATCATCATTTGCACTTGCATCGGGGTTAGAGGTTAGTTTCATGGATCGGGCGTTATGTGTTGATACGCCAGTTGGGGTTTCAGTGTCATTGAGCCGAGTTGTGCGGGATTGCTCCATTGTGATAGCCGGGCGGACCTTTGTGTTTGACCTTATCTTCCTGGAGATGACTAGCTTTGATGTCATTCTCGGGATGGATTGGTTGGCTTCATTTCATGCCACGATCGACTGTTACAGGTAATAATACACATTGAGACAATATGAACTGTTTGTATTTGTAATGTAACCTAGAACTTTTAATGTTTAAGTATCTCTAGATGGAAAATTATGTTACGTGCTCTGAGCTGAGGTTACTCATGAGCTGAGGTAACTCATCTTAATTCTTATGTTGTGTACATGTGTATTGAACTGCATGCTCTGTTGGCTAATTCTCTTAATGTTTCTCTGCACGACAGATTTGAGCGTACAAGCAACAGTTAGCTGGACACTGTCAGAATTCTTTGGTGGCCAGAATGTTTCCATTGTTGCTGAAGAAGATGTCAGAACTCTGTCCAAGGCTGATTCAACAGATCTATTGGAAGCGGTGGTATGCACTGTGAACCAATGCTTGGCTGAAGCACCCAAGTTTGGCCTTAAAAGTACAGACAAAGCCCTAGGGCCTCCTCAAGTTCTTGCGGCCATCAGCCGATGCAGCTCAACTGGGGGCCCTAAAGGAAGGCATTGGGTCCTTGACCCTATTGATGGAACATTAGGATTTGTGCGTGGAGATCAATATGCTGTGGCTTTAGCCTTGATTGAGGATGGGCAAGTTGCTCTTGGAGTTCTTGGGTGCCCTAATTACCCAATGAAGAAGGAATGGCTAAATTACCATCACCAACACTATCAAACTATGTCAAAAATGTCATCATCAACTCTTGATTCTCGGGAAGAAGGATGCGTGATTTACTCAAGGAGAGGTAGTGGAGAAACATGGATGCAACCTTTAATCTATGGTGATAAGAAGCTTGAGTGGCCAAACTTTGCAAGAGCTATTCGCGTTTCTTCCATTAATGATCCAGCACTGGCAACTTTTTGTGAACCGATGGAGAAATCAAATTCAAACCACTCCTTCACTTCTGGACTTGCTGAAAGCATTGGGCTTAGGTATGTTCGCATTTGGTCTCTCTTATTACAAATTTAAAGTCTCAGGCCTTCTACTCGGACTGTTAAAGGTGGTTGGTTGAATTTAATTTTGTTAAAAAGTGGAACCAAGATTGTCATAGGTTGCTGTTAAAGGTATTCAGTTTTATTTTATTTATCCAGAGGAAAGCAATCTAATAAACTACAGAATCAAGGAAGTGAAAAATTCTCTTCTACCCTCAGTTCCTTGTAAAATTCAAGAGACTATATTTTAGTATGAAAGCAAGAATATTCTCCACACTGTCGCGCTCCACAAACACTTACATATATGTATATAACAAAAAAATGTGAAACTAATAGAGTGACTAGAAGTTTCACCACAGAGATTTATCAGGAAAAGGAGTACGGCTGAGAAGTTTTGGTCTTAGATTCATGTTCTAGAAAGTGAATTAAGAGGATAAAAGTAGTTTACAGCGGAATAGTATCTGTTCTCGGCCTTAATTTGTAATCATACACTTGGTCCTAGCTTTTCTTTGCAACATTTACTTGCTGAGGATCCTTTTTGGATACAACATAACTGATATATTACCTAAGTAAAATGTAAAGCTTTAGATAACTGGAAACTGGAAATAGCTGGTTTTCTTTCTGTAGTCATAATAAATTTTTTTAATCTAATAGTTTCTTTCTTTTAGTCAGTCGGTAAGATTTGAATTCAAACTCATCTCTCTCAATGCCTTCACCTCCATGCTGAGACAGCCTTAACCACCATACATTTTTTTTTTTTTTATGCTCTCATGGCAGAAAGAAACCACTTCGTGTTTATAGCATGGTGAAATATGCAGCCATAGCTCGGGGAGATGCTGAGATCTTTATGAAGTTTGCAAGAGCTGGGTACAAGGAGAAAATATGGGATCATGCTGCTGGTGTTCTTATCGTGCAAGAGGCTGGCGGTGTGGTAACTGATGCAGGAGGGCACCCTCTGGATTTTTCAAAAGGATTGTTTCTAGAAGGTCTTGATCGGGGCATTGTTGCTTGCTCTGGGGCTGCACTGCATGAGAAAATTATTGGGGCTGTTTATGCTAGCTGGGACTCTTCTAACCTGTGATGGTTACTTTAGTGTTTCCACGGGGCCCAATACACTGATGCGGAATTATTTTGGTACCTTTGGCAGGTTAAGAAAATTGCAGTAACGAGTGTTTCACACAGTTGCGGGACTTTTAATTTTGGTTTCTTCATTGCATCAAGCATTGTGATAGGCCCACTAAGTCAATTTTTTGTGTGACTTGGCTGGTTTTGCGAAATGGATTGATGTTGCGGAGCTTTCCTTGAGCATATATACGGTCGGAAATTTCTGTCAACTATAATTTGTACAGGAATACCAAGTTTTTTGTGTTTTATTTCTTATTGATCCCTAAAATGGTGAGGACAATGGCCTGTCAATATATTGCTTGCTTGGTTTAGAAGTTTCATCTATGAGTAGACATCAACATTTTAGATTTGTTTGACGGACCAACTTGATTTGAAAACGTGATAATTTTAATAAATGCATTGGTGAAATTTTTTTGATGTAAAATGTTGGAATTGGAGGATATTCATGCCAAAGTTCAAAATGTTTTAGTATATTTGGGGAAAAAGTACAATTTAGAGTAAATAAAAAGGGGAACCACCAGTAGCTGATGAAGTTCACTCTCATACAATTTCATCTGTTGAATAGAGTGTTAATCAAGTAGTGCTACATAAACTAGGTTGAAGAAACAAGGTTTTGTTTCAGTATTTTGATTCTTCCCGTCCTTGATGATAATTGGCGTTTATTCCCTTAATGAATGTCCATGTTTTCTTGAGAAACTCAAAACTTTTGGATAGTGTCTCCATGAACTCTAATGTCACCCGAACAATACCAATTGCCAAAAACAACACTTTCATGCACTTCCATACCCAAAAAGAAAACGGTCCGATGCACTTTGCATTGAATGTCCATATAGTCTTTAGAAGTTCAATTAATATGTTGTATAGTGTCTCCACTAATTGTGTTTTCAGAGCAACCATAACTAATGCCAAAAACAACACTCCCTTCCGCATTGCAGTACCTAATACAAACAACAACAACAAATTTATTTTCGATGTTAAAATTCAGTATAACATAAATGACAACGTGAAAACTTTATATATAGTGTGTTTTCAGAGCAACCGTAACTAATGCCAAAAACAACACTTCCTTCCGCATTGCATTACCTAATACAAACAACATCAATTTTTCGATATTAACTTTCAGTATAACATAAATGGCAACAGAGAACGTGAAAACTGTATATAGTGTCTCCACTAGGTGTGTTATCAGAGCAACCATAACTAATGCCAAAAACACCACTCCCTTCCGCATTGCATTACCTAATACAAACAACATCAAATTTTTCATGTTAAATTTCATTATAACATAAATAACAACAGGGAACGTGAAAACTTTATAGCTAATTAACTAATTAAGTTTTCACAGTAACACGAGAGAGATTTTAAAACGAATGATTGAAGAAGTGAGAAAAATGTAAGCGCTATTGTTTTCTTTCTCTCTGTCTGTATCAGTATATCATATAAATGGAGAGAAGAGGCAAGACACTCGAAAAGAAAAATCCACAAACACATAACACACGTACAAACACATAAGGACTTTGGCCTTCATTGTGATTCACACTCACCTTTATTCATAATATCGTGACTCATCTAATAATGGGCCTTAATTTAGCAATTTTATTGATTGATATAATAGAAGGACTTGTCTCCAATAAATGTGGAACAAGCACAAAAAGTTTCAGAACAAAATAACATGTCAAGCAATAACGGAGAGAAAGGAATGTTGAGCATATTTTCAAATATTCAACACCACTCCAAAGGAAGAGAAGAGAAAAAATAATAATAATAATTTGAACAAAAACAAACAAGTGATGGAATACTGGTGAGGAATGGCTTAACTTGTTCCATGTGTTTAGCTAACGGATTATTGGATTCGGATTGCTAACAAATAATTAGATTGAATGTTCAAATTCTTATTCTAATTATGAATTTGGAACGAATTCGGATCAAAATTTGATCTCATTCGTTGACAAGTCTACCCACATCCTAAAAGTAATGACGATTATATAAATTATTCTAAAGAGTTGAGCCTTTTTACTTTGACACAAGGAGTTAATACCTAATTTTTATTTTTTACCTCCTAAGTTCTAAATCAAAACTGACGATATAAAAAGAAAGCTTCGTCGGTCATAGGAACAGAAATATTAATTAACAGAAATCACCAAACAATTCCAATAATTAAAGCAATACTGATCCATAATGTTGCTTACCCAAAAAAAAAAAAAAAAATACTGATCCATAATATGTAAAAAAAAAAAAAAAAAAAAAGGGACCTAATTTTCAGATACAGGACTAAGGTGGCAAAGGCATGAGAGAAAATTAATAAAGTTGAATTTAAAAAAATTAAGTAGGAGGACAAAGATTGTGTACCTGGCATGGTCGGATTTTGTATATGAAATGAAAAAATGGGAAGCAATATCTCTTCTCTTCTGAGGTTTGTGTAAGTAGACAAAAATAAGCTCAAAAATAGCATAGTCGTTGTTATTTTATGAAGCATCGGCGAAGGTTGACTGGGTTGACGTCGTCTAAAGTCAGGCGAACTGCAAATAACTCCCTCTGACTTTCACCTCTTAGCAAATAACCCCTCTATGAAATGTTTTAGCAAATAACCCCCTCGGATATTCTAACTAACTTTCGTTCAAGTGATTTTCTAACCAAATTTTGGGACGAAATTACCCCCCTCAACATCTTCAACATCCGTGGCGACTGTAAGAGAAGAGATCGCCGGAAAATGGGTGGAGCTTCGGCTATTTCTCCAGTGATGCCAACGGGCGGCCACCAAAACCCAAACCCAAAATCTCAACTCAAAACCCAAAATTAATCAACAGAGGTCGGCATCCTGCAATGATCAAAGTAACAGAGGTCGTCACAACCAAATTTGGACTGTCAATCGAATTCTGAGCAAAGATTCAATGACCGCAGGCCTTCGTTGAAGATCGATGTGGCTCAGCAGAGGTCGTCATACCAAATTTTGGACTTAGCCGAGTCAACTCAACCATCGACGCTACCTTTGGATACAGAGGAGGAGAGAGTACATTACAGAGGAGTCCGGCGAAGGCCGGGGGGCAAGTACGCGGCCGAGATCCGAGATTCGAACGGCGCGGGTCTAGAAAGCCCAATATTGTATGGTGACAAGCTCTCCAAGGGCGAGAGTGTAGTCGTCATCGAGTCCGACAACGCCGACATGGACGTCGAGACCTTCTATGACGGTTACTTGGCCGCCATCATGGTCGACGAAGGTGGTGTCGCCGCCGTCGGATCCGCCATCGCCCTTCTCGCTGAGAACGAGGAAGAAATAGACGAAGCTAGATCGAAGGCTAGCAATTCGTCTACTTCGTCTTCTCCATCTTCTTCGGCTGAAATTTCAGATTCGCCTCCTCCTCCGCCTCTGTTGTGGAATGACATGAATGTTAAAGTGACTGCAACCTGTATACGAGTTCCTGTTATGCGTGCACATGCTGAGAGCGTCAACCTTCAATTTGAGAAGCCTCTTGATGAGGTAATGTTATGATATTCTCTACTACTGTATTGCCTTTTAACTCGAAGTTTTAACAGAGTTTAGTTGCTGACAATTTTTGTCGCAAAAACTATTTTCAAAGTAGATAATATATATATATATATATTCAAAGTATATATATTTTACTTTGACCAGTTTGTTCTTCCTAATGTTTGAAACTTGAGTGGTAGGATGGTACCGGTGACAACATTATTGAAAATATATTTTTCCTTGGGGATTCGTGGCCGGTTTATTATTTGTCTTGTATATTACTTTTGTGTTTTCACATGCAACATTTTTTGTGATTTTTTTCAATTTTTCCATCTATGCTTGTGAAGTATCCATAATTATGATGGATGAGTACACTATAAGGACATGTACGATGGATGTGTGTGTATAATTAGAATGACTGTGGAAAAAACAAATAAATTCTACAGTTGACTTTGCGTAAGAGTAATTGTTTAAAAAATTATCTTACAAAATAATTAAAGGGGGATCAGTTAGAATACGCCCCTTATGATAGTTGAGGGTTTTTTTTTTTTTTTTTTTTTTTTTTTTTTTTTTTGGGCTAAAACGTTTTATAAATAGAGTTATTTGCTAAGAGGCGAAAGTCGAATGGGGTATATTTGCAGTTCACCCTCTAAAGTCCTTCATCACACCTTTCTGAATGATTGATACTAGTATGGAAAGTGACTTGCAGACAATGCTCTTTGGACGCTAATACTCCACACATTGTCTTATCTTTTATCTACGTTGAAGGTTTGATAAGATCAATATTTTAAAGAGTATTATTGGGTTTGAGAAAGAACTATAAAATAGATTGGATTGGGAAAAGTATGTGATCTACTGAATATATATGATGATTATATAATCAAATTTCATATATATATTGATTATAATCATCAGGAGAATTATTTTTACAAGGGTAGGATTGCAATTCAGGTAGGGTAGAGGCACAGTTCGATTTCAACCCAAAATAGAACAGTTCAATCTTAATACAATTCGAACAACATGTTCAACCGAGTTCAACCCATGTTTACATTTTTCAACTAGGATTTATAATTTGGATTAAAATTGGATTGAGCAAGGAAATGATAAGGTGCATTGAGGGACATGAATATATATATATATATATGTATCTATGTTATGTATGATCGGGTTTGCAAATTGAGTTGCTCAAGTTAGCTAACTGAGGATGAGTTCGGATTGGGTTTTGGGTTGCCAAAGCAATGAACCCAAGCCTAGACCAAATTTCAAATACCCAAAAATTTTTGGATTGGACTTGGGTTAGGCAGTCCGAGTTGCTGTGTTTTTATAGGATTAGATCCTCTAAGAAGTTGTACATGAGTTTTAAAAAAAAAAAAAAAAAAACACAGAAAATTCATAAATGCTCTGCTTCGGATAGTGGGTTAGCAAGAACCTATGCATCTAATTGATGGAATTAATGTCTGTGACTCTTTTTTTTTTAATGATTTTTATTAATTCAGGAACTCTCATGCACGAATTCATGCTAAATTGTTTGTATTAATTCTATGATTTCTTCATAGACTCCAACTGTAACAATATATAATATATCCAAAAATAATGTGTCTTGCAACATGACATGTGTAACCGATTAATTTAAACATGTTGAACTTTAAAACCTTTCAAAAATCTCAAAACAAGGTTGGAAAATTTCCAATGAATTAGATTCTGCATGACAGAGTCTAGAGAGTTCTTGAACCAGTTGGAGAACTAATCACAAAACAAATGAAGGCAATGTATGCTATAACTTGAAGGCCTTAATTTCACTCTATTTGACTTGATTTTGAAAGAGATACAAGCCTCTATTTATAGGCTACACTTTTAGTACGAATTTACTAACATTCATCTCCCTTTTCATGATTCATATCTCTTTCTCGATTCATCAGAGAAGAGAAGTAAAATACAGTGATTAGACTCACCCTTAAAACTTAGCAGGAATCACCAATTCTGATTTCCTTAGAAAAATGCTTTAAAAAGGTACCTCACCACTTCACTTCCTGTGTAATGCCTGATTACTAAACATCTAAAGACATTTTTTACTTTCCCATTTTTTCAAAATCAACCAGCAATAGAAACATACTAAAACTCCACTCCTGAATTATCTACCAGCAACAGTTATGTACAATAATACATTGATCAATGCTAGAAGTTCCATTTTTTTTTTTTTCAAAAGTTTTCAACAAAATCACAGTTGCTAAAAATGCTAGTGTCAACTAGTCCTATCTTTCCATTCTATTATTGCATGCAAAGTCTTCCTCCACAAATTCTTCGACAAACTGCTTTGCAACACTAGCTAATTCCGGGGCAAGTCGTCTGTTCATCTCAAGTTCTTCCATCAACAACGTCTCTGCTTCTTCACTCCTCAAGCTTAAGCTTCCCCAACCTTAATCATTCATCAAGCTTGCACAAGTATGTCCCAATATTGTAATCAACAATTTCCCCCACAGCAAAATTTTTCGAGGCGCTTCGAGAAGAAGACCGTCATAAAATCTTCTCTAGGAAAAAATTTCCTCTCTGACATTCCTGAACTATGTTTTCCACTTCATTTTTTTTTTTTTTTTTTTTACGTTGTACATTACTCAACCAATCCGTAACTTCTTTCTTTCTTTTGATTTCCTGTCTGGAGCTCTGCAGTTTCCAGTTGTGTCTTAACATCCTTCTCTCGACAGCGCATAGCCGCCATCTTTACTTCAAGAACTTGCAGCTTTTCAGCTGTAGAGTGATATAGCCACTCTTAAATGGATGTCCATATATATTCTCGAGAAGTTCAGCTATAGCACTCATTAATGAATGTCCATATATTATTGAGAAGTTCAATTTTGTTCAACAGTGTCTCCATGAACGGTATTTTAATCACAACACCACCTAATGGCAAAAACAACAGTTCCATCCACTTTGCATTGAATGTCCATATATTCTTGAGTTGTTCAATTTTGTTGAATAGTGTCTCCACGAACTCTATTTTCAGTGCAACTATACCTAATACCAAGAACAACAATACCCTCCACATTGCACTACCTAACACAAAGAACATCAAATTTTCGATATTAGGAACCTCACAATCTCATGTATACAGGAAGGAAAACAAATATGTAAACAACCAATATCCTACCACAAGGAGAGAAAATTAAAGAAATATATTAATAAATCATCCATGAAGTAACATGCATGATCAATATAAAACTAATGAAAGAGCTTCCGATGAATTGCATTCAAGTAGATGCATTGATGATGATACAAGATTACGTTGCTAAGAATATATAAAAAATTTAATACATGAAGGAATAAAATGATTTTGTTACCATATCGATATTTAATTTAGAGAAAGGGAGAGACAATACCAGATCATGAATTTTTAAAGTATGGGGGTCTGTTGTGAATGAACAAGAGTCTTCTTTCTTCATTCCAAAGAGTTATGAGAAGGGATGAAGAAGCTTTTTGTCTGTATCAGTGTCATATAAACGGAAAGAAGAGGCAAGACAATCTAAAAGAAAACAGGCAAAACACGCGCACATACACACAAGGACTTTCACCTTCATTCGTGCATGGCATCCTAAATCATTAATCCAAATAACATGCCTAGACTTTATTGATATAATAGGACTTGTAAGTTGTTTCCAACTAATGTGGAACTAGTACCAAAAGTTAGCAGAATAATATGATATGCCAAGCAACAACAGAGAGAAAAATGTAAGGTCTACTGTTATCTTTCTGTCGGTAAGAGAAGAACCAAGACGGTTAAAAGAAAACTTCGCGAAACACACAAGGACTTTGACCTTCATTGTGATTACTATTACCGCCTAGTTAACCCGATCTGAGCTATGTGCGACCTTGGTGTTTTTCAAGTGGGACAATAACTCATAGCATGTATATGGCCGGCTCTAAATACCTTAATTTGGGCTCACCTTCGTTCATAAAATAACATGTCGAGCAATAATGGAGAGAAAGGAATGCTAGGGATATTTTTCAAATATTCAAACACCACTCGAAAGGAAGGAGAGAAATTAAACAGACAAGTACTGGAATAGTAATGAGGAAGAGCTTATCTTGTTCAAAAATAAAGGGCTTCTCTAAAAATCAAGATGATAGATTTCAATTTATTCTATTACCCCATCATGCAATGTGATGTCTGTGTATTTATTGTGTGTGTGTAGTGTAATATAAAAGTAAAAGAAAAATAATTTAATGGTGAGGCCCACAAGGCACTTTAGAAAAGGCTCAAGACCATAAAGTTGGTCTCATTTTCCTGATTCCCTTTCTCTCTCTTCGTGCATCTCTCTCTCAACCTGTAAGCTCATTTTTCTCTTATTTTTTTGGTTTCAACTTTGAGGTTAGATTTCTCACTCATTTCTTGTTGGAATTAAGTTCCGTTTGAGGCAAAACGAAGCTCGTGTCAAGCTCTATACATCCATACCATCAATTTCCAGTTTTGAGTCTTCCTTGGAGCTCGAATTTGAGGACCCATTTTTTAGGGTTTTGGTGCAATCTTGAGGTAGGGGCCCTTAATTCATGAAATCTTGTACCTTAGTGAGTTAATTGCCTCTAATTGTTGTTTAATTTGATTAGTTGTTTAAAATCTAGAGAATTGTTGATATGTATGCATATATGTTAGTTGTGTGACTATATTTGTTGATTGTTCTATGTGAAGCATGTTTAGGACTTGATTATATATGTTCATTGTGCTAGAACTTGTTATGTATAAGCATGTTATGACTTTCTTGATTATTCTTGCGAATTATGCCATGTTGCTTAAATTGGATAAAGTATGGAATGATGAACTTGTGTATGTCATTGAGGTATTCATGCATTAACATTGGGCAGGAAAAAGGAAAGAATTGATTTACTTCAAAAAGGGGAAATTTCGGGAAAGTGTTTTTGATGAAATGATTTTATGCGAAATCCGGTCGCTGCGGGGTTACCAACGGGCCGGAGGTTAATATAACCTAGAGGGGACTAGGGAGTCGCCCTAGTGTGGTTGAGCTAACTGGGTC